CATATAGGGTGCCAGGGATCAAATCCAGGTTGACCATATGCAAGGTAAGCACTGTACCTGCTGTACGTGTTACTCCATTTGGGGGCCACATCCAGTGGTGGTGCTCGGGTTTTTTTTTAAAACTTTTTAAATTCAAATGTACACAGTCATGAAACTATAACTTAGTTTAACTCATGTGTTCATGATCACTTTTCTACCATAACTTTACTACAGGGCTGGAACGATAGCACAGCAGGTAGGGCATTTGCCTTGCATGCAGCCAACCTGAGTTCGATTCCTCCGCCCCTCTCAGAGAGCCCGGCAAGCTACCTGTGACGTATTCGATATGCCAAACACAGTAACAACCAGTCTCACGATGGAGATGTTACTGGGCCCCCTCGAGCAAATCTATGAACAATGGGAGGACAGTGCTACAGTGCTACTCAACTTTACTACATGTTCTTACACTATGGACTATTTATGCAGACGCCTAACCCAGTTTGTCCAGAATCATCAAAGTATTCTTTTAAGTTTCTGTTCTGTTTTGAATGCATGTATCATCAAACTTTGATCTGCTCTACAGAGCAAAGGGTCAACGTTGGAAGAAAAGCATCATGGGGCCAGGTCATTGGTTCAGCATGCTGAAGCTCTTGTGTGGCCTGCAAAGGGTGCCTCATACTTCAGGGGGTAGCCCTGAGGGCTCCTAGCCCTGCTTGGGAGACTTCCTTCCAGAAGGAAAAGCATTAGGGCCTAAGGATATAGCACAGTGGTTAGCGCAAGCTTATATATACACAGAGTCCAATGAAGCCCAGGGTTCAATCCCTGGCACTAAGAAAGAGTGTTTGGGGGGATAGGCAGGGACCCACCCCATGGTGCTCCGACATTTTCTCGGCCCTGTGCTCAAGCATCACTCCTGGTTCACCATATGTGTTGTTAGGGGTCGAGCAGGCTGGGCTGCAGACTAGGTAAGTGCCTTACCTTCTGTACTATCTCTATAAGGCCTATAGGGCAGGATTCTAATAGTGTGTAAAGTTATGTTGGGAAAGTCTTGTCCTAAATTATTTTTTCTGAAGGTTCAGTGTTTTGTCATGAAACAGTGATAATATATACAAGTGGTCCAGTGGACTTGCAGAAAGTGATGGGCCTGGAGAGCAGGGCTCGGGTCAAACGCCATCTGTGCTTTCCCTCCAGTGGAAACGGTTCAGGCATCCCAGAATACCGGGGAGATGCCTTTTGCTTCTTCACTCTATAAATCCAGTTTAGAACTGTGCATGCGCTAGGAAATTATGTTTTAAATAAAGGGTTCTAATGAACCTTTTTGTTTTTCTGCATGGAACACCAGTGAACTGCTTTTAATCAGTAATTGAGTATTTTTAAAAAAATTTATTTCTGGCTTTTTGGGTCACACCCGGCGATGTTCAGGGGTTACTCCTGGCTCTGCACTCAGGAATTACTCCTGGCAGTGCTCAGGGGACATATGGGATGCCAGGGATCGAACACAGGTCAGCCACATGCAAGGCAAAAGCCCTACCTGCTGTACTATCATTCCCAGTAATTAAGTATTAACGCATCATCGGTGCATCCTAAGCCACGGTCCAGGCTCTCGTGTCACTGCAGGGGTAGGCAGTTTTCGATGGGATTCTGAACATGCCTCATTTCAGAGAAAACAGTGCACAGATATACCTTAGTGGAAAGACTCACCAGACTTTGGCAACATTATGACAGCTTGAACAGCATAATAACCAACTCAGCTTACACACTGGGAACGTTGCTCCCAACAGAAAGAGAGAGATATTTGGGAGAAACAGAAGAACAGAATTCTTCTTTTGGCAGAGCACATATATTTATACATTCTTCTGTGTTTAGCTCCATGGTTAGCGAACACTTCCTGGAAAAGCTGCAGTACACAAATGTTTTTAATTTCAACTTGCACATTTCATCTGGTTGGTTCCTGGGACAGGGTTCACTGCCCTGGAGGTGGCTTGGCTCCATCTTTAAAGCCCACACTAATGAATTTCAGGTTTGGAACATAAAACAGCTGCTCTGTATTGGACAATCATGTGAACTTGTAATTGTTTCCCATGAATGTCTTAAATAGCTAAGCAGTGTTACTCTGGATGGTGGGGTTTTTGCTGTCTCCAGATACACAGATTGCATTGCCTTTGTTCTTTGTACTCAGAGCTTGCCTACTTAAAGAACTTGGAGTTGGGGCCAGAGAGATAGTACAGTAGGTAAAGCACTTGCCTTGCATTTGGTTGACCCAGTTTCAATCCCAGGCACTGCATACAGTCCCCCGATCCACACCAGGAGTGATCCTTTAGCACAGAGCCAGGAGTAAGCCCAAGTGCCACCAGGTATGGCCTTCAAGCCAAACAAAAAGCACAGCTTTGATTTGGAAAGATTTCTTCCTTTTTGTAAAGGGAACACTGTTGGAGGAAATAGGGTGGAGATCATCTGAGTGTTGTTGGATGTATTGAAGGACACAAAAATAACATTAAGAGCGAGTAGAGAGATAGTACAGCAGGTAGCGTGCTTGCCTTGCATGTGGCTGACCCCAGTTCAACTCCTGGTATCCAGTATGGTCTCCTGGCCCCACCAGAAGTAATTCCCGGTCCAGAGCCAGGAATAACCCCTAAGCATCACAGGGTGTAGTCCCAAACCAAGAAATAATAATAATATTAAATAACATTAAGGGACCAGAGAAATAGAGCAGCATTTAAGGTGCCTGCCTTACATGCACCTGACCTTGGCTCAATTTCAGCACTGCATGGGTTTGACCTTGGTTCAATTCCAGCTACAGCAGCACCAACAGGAGCAATCTCTGCACAGGAGCACAGACTCCCTAAGCATTGTTAGGTATGGTCAAAATTTTTTAAATTCCTAAGAGCTAAAGAGTGCAATGGACTGCTCATTCCTTGCATGCTGGGAGCCAAGTTTGATCCCCAGCAGTGCAATAGTGCATGGTCGTCCCCCCCCCCACCACCACCACCACCAAGCATCACTAGGAGTGATTCCTACGTACCACCAGGTGTGACCCAAAACCAAAAACTGAAAAGGTTGGTTTGGACTGAGTATATTTGTTTTTTCCTCTGAACTGTTTGAAATTAAAGAAAAAAGAGGTTGGAATGTAGCTCAAGTTGGAAGGACACATGCCTCATATGTATGAGGCCCTGGGACACAACCCCCAAAGTTCCCCCCAAAAACAGGAATGGAGAAAGATACAATAAAATTTTCACAAGATGGGCCGGGGAGATAGTACAGCAAGCAGGGTGCTTGCCTTATACACAGCCGGCCCAGGTCCAGTCCCCAGCACCGCCTGTGATACTGGGAGCTCCACAGGAGTGAGATCTGAGAACTGCAGAGTGTGGCAAAAAAAAAAAAAAAATCACTTGTCATACTTTTTGGTGTGGATACAACTAGTAATAGTTTAGGGATTTTATCTGATCTGACCCAATTCTCATTTAAAAAAAATAAATAAAAAAACGTTCCAAGTGGGACCGTTGATATGGAACATGGAAACTCCTCTTAGTTGGAAGGAAAGACGTAGGTAAATGGAGCCATAGGTAACCCTTTGTAAGAAGGACAGAGTCCAGGCTGTGAACATGGATCTTCACCCCTACCTGCTCCTCTCCCACCCCCACCATCCCGCCCCCCAGCCTACTTCAACTTGGCGCTCTTTGGCAGTACTGATAAAGATGATGCTGACCTCATCTGCACAGGCTTCTTGCCGTCATGCGCAGTTGCAGGCTCAGTTTGTGTGTGTGGGGAGGGGAGGGGGGGAAGTGAATTCAGAATTCCTTCCCCTGTGACTGCTTGATGAGCTTCCAAGATGAAGCAGGAGAATGTCCATTCCTGTGTGTGATTGATTCTGTCTCAGGCCATTCATGCTCTCCGGGCCTCAGTTTCCTCCTCCCAAGTGAACCAGATGATCTCCTCAGGTCCTTCCTAAAGCCATAAGGGTCTGAAGTTCCATTTATTTTGCATATGAGGTTGGGGCATCCGTTGCGCTGGGCAGCAAGGGACTGTTGGTGTTGTCCAGCCAGTAGACTCCTCTGGCAGGCAGACAAGACGTGGATGAACAAGCACTCAGTTGCTGCAACATGTTTGTGTTGGGTTTGCTGGAACAGTCCGTTCCAGCAAATAGTCTGGGTGATGAAGGGATTGTCACAGGGGGTGCTGAGCACTCGCCAGGCCTGCTGAGACCCTGGAGGGCAGCATGAGGTTCCCACATACACTCTGGCATCGGCAGGCCTTGATGCTCTCCAGCTCCTAACCATCCCACCAGCCCCAGCACCCTACCCAGCCTGACCTTGAGAGAATCACCTGACAGTGCTAAAACTTTGTTTTTTTCTGAAAATGAAAATAGTAATGTATATATTCAGAGTTAGCCTAATGTATTTATCATAGTGCTTCAAATTTTTTATTTTCAAAAAATGCATTTGGAAATATCTAGCAGATTGGTGGGACTAGGTAAATAGGGGATGATTGAAAATAGCAATTTCTGGAAAACCCAAGTACTATCTATCACCTTACCTGAAAGTCAAAGAGGGATGTGGGAGCTAATATTTGTGTCATGAGTAATTTCACAGGCAGCTGAAGTTCTTTCTGTTTGTTTTGTTTTGGGAGGAGCCACACCCAGCGCTGCTCAGGGCTCTGTGTGCTGCTCGGGGGGTATGCAGTTCCGAGGATTTGATATGAGGCAAACGCCTTAGCCCCTGTACTAGCTCTCCAGACCCACATCATCATTTAATATGTACCACCTCATATCCAGATACAGAGAGCTGCAGATTCCAAGGTCAGGATTCTGGAAACAGCGGCATGGACATTTAAGTCTGATTCTCAACCTTTGAGTTCCTTCTACACTTGCTGCCAACACACCCAAACACACGGTTGATGCATACATAGGTCAAACCTCTGATGATTCTAGAAAAAGGAATAAATGGTCAAAAGTGGTGCTAGTACGTGAGGTGTGTGTGAGCATTGTGTGTGAGTGCCTGGGGAGTGTCACATGGTGCTTTTTTAAGCAGACTTCAGTTTTTCTGACTCCTCTTTAAGACAAACCAGGGAAACCCTGGCCAGTCCCGTCTCACTTGGGGGATCTTAATTTCGAAACAGCTCCTGGGGATAGTTAGAAGACTTGAAAATCTCCGGGATGTCACTGTCCAGTTTCGAAATGATTTTGTAAATGGGTTTCTTCCAGGAAGGATCGGCATCTTTCCCCGTGGAGACTGCCTTGAAGAACTCCTGTAGCGTCAAGCTGGCCATTTCCAAGAAGCTTTCCGGAACCTGCATCCCCCACAATACCCCCGGGAGAGAGAAGCCCTGAGACAGGGGGACCAGCACTCAGACCCGTCCGGAGGTGGTGTCTGCCACCACACACCCCCAGAGGAAGCGGTACTAGCTGGCCACCAGAGGTGCCACTCTCAAACCCACCACCCCCATCAGAAGGCAACTGTCAGATGATGACACTGATGAGCCAGCCCTGGCTGAGTGCCTGGGGAAAAAAATCCCCTGCATGGAAGGAGCCGGTGTCACTCACTGTGAGGTTTTTCTGTTCTTCCCCTTGGTGTCTAACATGGAAAGGTGTGCCCTGAGATTTGCGACTGTGGCATCTCGCCATCTTTGGGAGCTGGATCCAAGGACTCAATGGAATGGCAGGGAGGAGGGTTCACGTGTATGTCCCAGCGCCCCACAGAGGCAGCTAGAGGGAACCATACACCAGGTCCTCCAGCTGCAGTATGGTCTGGGCACCGCAGAGAGCAGCTGTGCTAGGGCAGCCCGCCCCCTGGCCTCAGAGAGGAAGTGAAGCCCCTCTGCCCACCCGCGTACTTCCAGACCTCTGCTGGCACAGGTGGATGTCCGCAGTTTTTCCCATTCTCGGGAGTATGGGTCAACAGTCAAGCGACAGGCAAGAGGAAGAGTGTGGTGGGCGACCTCCTGGCACAAGAGGCAAAACCCCACCCTAGGGAACATGGGTTCTCCCCAGTGACCCTCACACAGACTTGCCCTACAGCTGCAACCTGGGTGCCTTCCACAAAGAGCCTCCCACAGACGGGAAAACACGAGTACCATTGACTCGGTACCTCCAGAAAGCATTGGAGGGGCTGGAGCGATAGCACAGCGGGTAAGGCGTTTGCCTTGCACGGGGCTGACCTGGGTTTGATTCCCAGCATCCCATATGGTCCCCTGAGCACCACCAGGAGTAATTCCTGAGTGCAGAGCCAGGAGTAACTTCTGTGCATCACCAGGTGTGACCCAAAAAAAGCAAAGCAAACAAACAAACAAAAAAAACCAGCATCGGAGATGGATCTGTCATGGAAGCCCCACAAATGAAGCTGTGCACGTGAGAATAAAAAGTAAGAACCCAGTGAGGGGAAGGCCTGAGAGCTATTTGCAGCAGGTAAGATGCATGTGGCCTTGTAGGACCTGACCCGGGTTCCATCTACAGCACCGTATGTGGTTCCCTGAGCACAGAGCCAGGAGTACACCTTGAGCACTGCCAGGTGTGTCCTCCTCAGAAGAAAATCAAGAATGTAATGATATCAAGGACAGATACTATTGTAAAGGAAACCCTGGCCAAGACAAGGTGTGATGGCGGAGCCCAGAATTGAGTCGTGGGCCTCCTGGCACCGAGGCAAATGGGCCAACAGTCATGTAACTGACTAATCAGTCTCAGTGGCTGCACACCTGGCAGACCCCAGCTTGGGTTTCAGGAAGGAGCCTGGCTGGGCTTGCCCTCCGGGGCACTGCCCGCACACTTGAAGGGGAGCTGCTGAGATGGTGGCCTTTGTGATAGCCTGCAGGCCAGCCCCAACCCACCATGCCTGTCGCAGGCATAAGGCTACACACAGAAGGAGATCAGAACCTAAAGCTCCAGTCACTTGGACCAGGGGCACCACAGTCCCCCCCCCCCCCATCCCCCTAAATGCGCGCGCTTACCTCAAAGTCATTCCCCTTGTTATAGTGCATATTCAGGGTTCGGAACAAATCCGAGTCGCGGAGAACCACCAATGTCTGGGCATTTGTGACGCCATCTGAGATTGCCTGTCGGGCAGATTTCTCCATTTGGATGTAATAAAACTCACGGAAGTTGCTGAACCACTTGATCATCTGGGAGGTAATGCAGCGGTTGAACTGTACAAACAGAGGATCCATCGGGTCAGACGTTTTGCCATGAGGTGCTGTGAACCGTCAGGGTTCAGTTCAGCAGCAGGATAAGTAAGAACAGCTTCCCCCAGTATACGAAAGGGCTTCCTTTAAAGAAGCCACGGTGGGCCAGAGCGATAGTACTTTGGGTAGGGTGTTTGCATCCCATATGGTCCCCCGAGCGCTCCAGGAGTAATTCCTGAGTGCAGAGCCAGGAGTAACCCCTGAGCATCACTGGGTGTGACCCAAAGAAAGCAAAAAAAAAAAAAACAAACAAACTAAAGAAGCCACAGAGGGGGGCCAAGGGATAGTTCAGCGGGGAGGGCGTTTGCCTTGCACATGGCTAGCTTAAGTTTGATTCCTCAGCACCCCACGAGGTCCCTCGAGGCCCAAGAAGAGTAATCCTTGAGCAAGGAGCAAGTCCTTAGCACCGCTGAGTGTGGGTCCCCCCAAACAAAAACAAAACAAATTCTGATAAAGTAAATGACTGTAAACTTGAGGCATGTTCGAGCTTTTCCGTGTACCTTCCCCCACCCCCAGATACCCCTCTCCCTGCCGTGTTGCAGGGGCTTCTCTCCAGCTGATGGTCTAAACTCCAGCGGCCGCAGGGTCACTGGCACCGCAGAGTCCCCGCCCAGGAGGGAGTTTGCACAGAGGCCACGTGCTGGGGAAGAGCGAGCATGCGCGGTGGGGCCCGCCTCACGCCCCGCTGACTCTGAGACATCGTTACCTGAACGTCAGGGAAGTAAGTCTTCAGGAGGTTGGAACTGGGATAGCGCGTGAAGAAAAACATGAGTTTGGCTTTCTTCAGATGACCAGGGTTCAGGCCCTCCTGGATGTGACCCGGCGTCAAGGGAAATACATGCTAAGTTTGTCAGGTAACTCCACTTGTTCGAGTGGACAGTGGCCTTGTCATGTTTTGGGGAACATCTCAGGGGTTTTTTGTTTGTTTGGGGCTATACCTGGAAGTGCTCAGGGCTAATTCCTGGCTCTGCATTCAGGGATCAGTCCTGGTGGGTTCGGGGGACCGTGTAGGGAGCCAAGGATAGGACCCAAGTTGGCCGTGTGCAAGGCAAATGCCCTACCCGCTGTGCTATCACTCTGGCCCCACCTTATGCTTTTCTTCACCCTCCCCCCGCCCCCCCCCCCCCCCACACACACACACACTGGTGAAATTGCTCCATTTCTGTCTGTAGCCGATCTGACCAGGTAAGAGTTTTTCCTCCTAGATGCGGAGATCGCCAAATGTACAGTGAAGTTGCAGAACTTAAAACATTTGGTATGTGGAGACCCCGTGGCATCTAGGAGAACAAGGACCAATTTGTGCTCTCTGAGTAGGGATGGAAGAGAAGCTTCTGAGCGCCCCCCGGCAGAGATGAACTCCAGTTTTCTGCCTGGTTCCTCATCTATGAATCGAGAGGAGGTCCCCAGCCTTCGCTGTGAGGCTGACCAGCATGGAGGCCGGTACCACACCGTCCCCTCTCCACCAGCTCCACTACTGGGCCACACCTGCGTCTTCCCTACCAGACGGATCTCCCCCTCACCCCCTCCCAGATCCTGCTTGCTCCTCTCTCCTTGGGGAGCCCTCCCTGGCCCCCTGCTGCCAAAGCTTCTTGGCTCAACCTCCCCCACCCCACCCCCCATGGTAGCTGTGACTTTTACCAGAATCTCGACTGTATGTTTTGTTTTGTTTTGTTTGCTTTTTGGGTCACACCCGGCGATGCTTAGGGGTTACTCCTGGCTCATGCACTCAGGAATTGCCCCTGGCGGTGCTCAGGGGACCATATGGGATGCTAGGAATCGAACCTGTGTTGGCCATGTTGGCTAGTGCAAGGCAAACGCCTTACCCGCTGTGCTATTGCTCCAGTCCTTGACTGTATGTTTGTCACCCCAGCTAGACTGACTTTCTGGAGGACAAGGATTTGCTTTTCATCTTCATTTGCCGTGTGCCTGCCCTAGTGCTGAGGACCCTGCAGGTGCTCAAGAAATGCCTGTTGGCAGCAGGGATGCATGACCTTCATCCACACACAGATCCAGAAGTGCCTCTCCAGCTTGTTCCTTGCTCTGGGAACACCCCTCAGCCTTAAAGCAGAGCGCTGGGAAGGAAGTGTTCTCCGTAGGAGCCTTGCAAGGGCCACAGGATAACCAAGACTCACTGGATAGCCCCGCTGACTTTCACAGGGCTCCTGGGAGATAACTGCTGGCCTCTCCCCAGGCAAGTAGAGGAGAGACCCTTTGGGGGCTGAGTTGTTTTCATTCTTCTGCCGCTGTCTGACTTTATTGGGAAGTCGGCCTTCCTCAGGGGCCCCCCACCCACTAGCCTTTTATCGTCACATGGCAAGAAAGTACATCCTTGCTGCTATCGCTATACCTCTGAGAAGCTTCACTACCGCCGGAAGAGGTGGTGGTGACTGGGGAGGAGTTCTGAGTCGTGGCTTTGCTGGTGCTGCCAGCCGGGAAAGCACCGGAGGATGCGCAAGCTTTGGAGGGAGTTGTGAACATCGCACCCGCGGCCAGCAGGGGGCACTGTTTCTTCGGTTTTCAAATAAGCGGTACCTGTCCCTGTGGCGTGCTGTGGGCAGGAGCCACCCAGTCCTGCCAGCAAAGGGAACACCTCCATTCACGCCTGACCCTGAAATCCACAGACACCTCCACCTCTGGAGTATCCAAGGGACATAACATGAGCTAAAAAGACCATGATCCCGAATATGTTCTCAGGAATTGGAGAGATGCGCACTGGAACAGGGCTTTGGAGCAACCTCCCTCTCTTAGACCAAGCTTACTTGACCAGCCCCCTTTCTGGAAAGAAAAAAAAATCACTGGGCTGGAGCAATAGCACAGCGGGTAGAGCGTTTGCCTTGCCCTGCGGCGACCCGGGTTCAATTCCCAGCATCCCATATGGTCCCCTGAGCACCGCCAGGAGTGATTCCTGAGTGCAGAGCCAGGAGTGGCCCCTAAGCATTGCCGGGTGTGACCCAAAAAGAAAAAATAATTACTCAGCCTCCCCCACCCCCAACCCCTGGAAATTTATCCTAAATGGGGGAAAAGTGCCTCCTAACTGCATTCGAGCCTCCACTGTAAGATTGGAACAATAAGATGAGCACATCCAAACCCCTGCAGACCAGCCTGGGTTCCTCAGTCTTCCCCAAGGGACTCCCGCCCCCTCCAAGTGCCAGCCCCTTACCTAACCACCACACACCCCTCCCCTCAGCTGTCCCCTCAGCTGCTGCTTAGAAGCAATACCTTAACCCAAGGCCTCTTGTCCTGCCAGGATCTCTGGTCTGCTCTCAGAAATGCTCCCTGCCCTGTCCTCCTTTCCCAGGGGTTTCTGACCCTCAGACCCCTCACCCCTGTCCCCCATGAGTGATCTGGACTTGGAGGAGCCGAGAGGGGGGAGGGGCCCTGCCTCAGATCACTCCTGCCACTTGGGTCTGTGAGCAATGGACAACAAAGTTCCGGGCATCTTCCTTCCACGGGGTGTTCATCCTACCCATTCATATCTGCAGCCCTTTCAGACCTGAATAACTGAGCCCTCCTACCATAGTGGTAGAACCTCGTGTGTCCCAAAGAGATGAATAAGCTTCTCCAGCTTCTGTCAGTACCCGGATGGGGTCCCCACTCTCTTAGGAACCTAGTTCTTGGGCAAGGCATGGAGCTGGCCACAGGAACACGGCCCTTCCCGGGGCCACGCTGGTGTGGGGAGCCCCGCACCCTCATCTGCCAGAATTCCTATCTCTCTGGGCTGCCACAGAGGACCACAGCCACGCATAAAGGATATGTGGACCGGAGGAAAAGGGGGAGCCTCGGCTGCCGCCTCCAGACCTCCCGCCTCCATTTTCACCGAGGAGAGAAGGGGCAGTCCTTCTAACACAGGGGGCGTCGTGAGAGACAGGGGGTGCCGCAGCCGGAGTGCCCCCCAAGGCCTCAGGGCCGGCTCAGAGCAGGCATGACTTTGGGGGGCTGAGTCCTGGGGGATGCCACCACTCCAGGGGCCCTTGGGTCGGTTACCGAGTAACTGGCGAATAAGCTGGTTTTCCTGGACGTGAATAGGCACAGCCAAGGTTCGGCTCACGGGGGGACCCTGATAGAGGCTGGGGATCATTCTTCGAGCATCTAGAGGCTTGGCCAGGGAAAAGTCTCCCAAGGGGGACCCAGTCAGTGGCAGAGACCTCCGGGGCCAGGCAGCCAAAGGAAGGGGGTCTTTGCTGGCTCCCCGCTCCGGAGGGGAGGGCTGGCTTGCACCCTCTGCCACCGGGCCCTGGAAACTCGCACTCAGCCGAGCCAGGTGGCCCGCCGGGTCCAGCAGCACCTTCTGTAACACAGAGTCCACGGCCTGGGACATGGCGCGGCTCAGCTCTTTGCTCAGGATCGCCAGCAGGGCCTGTGTCCCGGGGGGCGGGAGCCTGGCTTCCTCAGCCTGGGGACCCAGCTCACGGTCTCCACGGTCTTCAGCCCTAGAGAGGTTCTCGCTTGAACCCTGCCAGCAACGGTTGCCCTGAGCCCAGGGCCGTGGCCCGTAGCCATTCGTCTGCCTGACGGGCTGGGCCACCGGCAGAAGGTGCTCCTGCACTAATCTCAGCTGCTGCTTCAGCAGCTGCAGTTCTTCCCTCACCCGAGGGCCCCTCTTCCTGCTGCCCCGGTCTCCCGCAGGGCCTGGCTGCAGATGGCCTTGCTGCATGGGGACACTCTGCTTCCTCTTCCGCTCCCGGACCTTCTCCACGCAGGACGGGCCAGCACCGGCCTGGTTGCTGCCTGACCCCACCAAAGGGCTGGCAGGGAAGCCCATCCCACGGACGATGGTCTCCACTCTGGCCCTCTTTGCCTTGATGTGCTCATCCCCGACCCGGTCCAGTTCAGCGAGGCTAGAGCTGGGGCCTTGGCTCCAGTGAATCCGGGGGTCTCCGCCCTGTGGGCTTCCTCCAGCTTCCACGCAGGGTTCAGTCAAGGGCGGAGAGTGCCAGCCGGAGTCGGGCTCCATGCCTGGGCTCCACCGTGCTGAGGATGGTCTCAGCTGGGATTTCTCCTCTGCCCTTAGGTGAAAGCAGTGTCTACGGAGGGAGGTTTTGCGAGTCTCCTGGACAGACCTCAAAATCAGAAAATCATAGGTTGGATGACTTGGGCGTTGCTTTCCAAATGCAAGTTTGGGATAGGGCTGGTAGGTCTTACACCCATCCTGCTTCTATCCCAGGTACCACATGTGATTCCTCCGAGCACCACTAGGGGTCAGGCCTGGCCACAGAGCCAGAAATAACCATAGCACAGTCAAATGTGATATAAAAAACAAAAATGAATTTTTTTTTAAAGGAAGAAAGAAAAAAATCAGAAAAAAAGAGCAGTATTGGGTTGAGCAGACCTAGGATTCCTTTTGGAGTGGGGAGGGGGTGCTCCTGGCAGTGCTTGGTACTCCCCTGCAGTGCTCAGCCCTAGAGGTGCTTGGAACTTGGAGAAGGGGAGGCATGCAGTCCTAGGGTCTCGCCCAGGGCCTTGTGTGTTTTCTATCACCGATCCACATCCCCGGGCTGGAGTCTGTACTGGGGGAGAGGGGAACCTCCCAAGCAGTGTTCAGGGGGCCCAGGCAGAGGTCACTAGATGGTTCAGTCCTCAGGCCCAGTGGCACCGGGGGACCTCAGGGCCATCCCAGATGATGTGAGGGGATGGTTAGAGTAAGTGGAAGTGGCCCCTCCAGGTGCCCCTGAGCTTTCTACCCTCTCCTCCCTCCTAACCATTCCAGTGCCTTGGAGGGACTGCATCACCCACCCACTTTGGGAAATACTGATCTAGCTCCTATATGAAACAAAATCAGGAAAGTGGGCTCCCAGCACCCCAAGACCAAGCAACTCTGAATCTTCAGACCAGAGAGCATTGAACCCCCTGGTAAGGTTACCAGGAAGTGCTCCAGGCTCCCCAGGCACTGCTTGGGGGCACTCCTCCCCCCCCCCAAAAAAAATAATTCAAGAAAGAGACAGCATAGATTGAAAAGTGGATGGATAGGAATGGGGGAAGAGAGAAAGGAAGAAGTGGGAGAGGGGGAGGGGAAGGAGATAGGAAGATGCTTCTGGAACCTCTGACTTTGCTGGATCTCCCTTTAGGTCACTGAAGCTTCCTGTCTGTGCTCTGGAGAGAGCAACTAAGCGGCTAAGAGACAGACTCAGTGTCTTAACAGAGCAGCAATCCACGGAATGTCAGATTGAGCTCTAGACCCTAGAGCTCAGACCTAGTCATGGGGGCCAAAGCGACACTGCCCACTCCTAAGCTCTGGAGGAAACGGGCCTCTTCACAGGAGCCACGGAACCACAGGAAGCCCGGGCTGCCCTGCCCTCTGGGTGTGGCTGGAAGCTGCAGGGCTGGGTTTAGAAATGAACTCACGGGCTTCCACATTCATCCTAGATGTGGCAATGCTCACAATGTGGAAAATAGCATTTACGGCCCCCCTCCCAAAACACATTAACTCTGCTGCTTTCCTTGAATGATTAAAGCAAGATAGGATCATTCCTCCCCCACCCCCAATTTAGGGAGTTATTCAAAGGCAAAGAAAGACTCCCCGAGAATGTTGCCACCCAGAGAGGAAAAAAAAAATCAGTTAACATATTGGCATTCGTCATTTTTTCCAAGCCTTTTTGTTTTCTGTGCAGATAAATTTCCATAGTTACATAAATTGTTTAAATTTGAGGCCAGGGTGATGTCTCAAAGGGTTGGAGCTTGTGTTTCACACGCAGAAAGCCCAGCACTGCATACAGCCCCAAGTGTGCTGGGAATTAACCCTGAGCATTGTCTGGTATGGTAGGAAGACCAAGAAAAACTTAACTTTGTGGGGGAAGCACACTGAAGGGTTGGGGCACACCTTGCAGTGCTCAGGGCAGGATCATTCCTGGTGGTATTTGGGGGCCTGTGTGTGGTGCGAGGCATAGTACCAGGACCAGCCATGGGCAGGCTCTCTTTCCAGCCCTCAAAATATAATTTTTGGGAGGTCTGGTTTTTTTGGGGTCACACCCGGCAATGCTCAAGGGTGACTCCTGGCTCTGCACTCAAGAATCACTCTTGGCAGTACTCGGGGGATCAAATGGGATACTGGGATCAAACCAGCTCAGCCTCATGCAAGGCCAATGTCCTCCCCACTGTACTATTGTTCCAGCCCCTCAAAATATAATTTTAAAGAGTCCATACCCAGTGATACTCGGGGAAATCAGGCCCATGTCTCTTAGTGCCTGCCAAGGATCAAAATCAGGGCCTCACATGTGCCCGGTATATATGCTGCCTTTTGGACTGTGTCCTTAGCCTGATTCTACAATTTTTTTGAAATGGAACTTAAGGTATGTTGTTTCATAGCTTTTCTTTTTTTCTCCTGTCAGTGCATACTAATCTACACTTACACTGTGGAATCAGATTCCGCTATAGGAATATAGCATAATGTGGTTAATAAATTCCCTTTCTTGGTTGATGGTTTTGTTTGGGGGTGAATCCTGGTGGTATTCACGGGGCTCTGCTCTGCTCTGCTCTGCTCTGTGCTTGTGGATTGCTCCTAGCAGTACTCAGGGAACTGTGTGTCATCAGACACTGAACGTAGGCCTCTTGCAGGTAAAGCATGCACTGCACTATAGCCCATTGAGCTCTCTGACCCAGCTGATTTCCTTTTGAAAGGTAATTATATTCATTCCTGTGTTATCACAACTGGAGCAGCAGAGACTGTGGAGAGTGAGAGCAGGACCTTGGAGTCAGGCCAACTAACCACGTATGATCTCTGAGCATGGTCAGGGGTTACTCTTGAGCACAGAGCCAGGGATAGTTCCTGAGCACTGTTGGGAGCGGCCCAAAATCACCACCCAAAGAGTTCTATTTATAAGAGTAGACATGGTGGGGGCGCAGAGAGACAATATGGCAAGTATGACACTTGCCTTGCACACAGCCAACCGGGGTTCAATTCTCAGTATTCCATATGGTCCTCCAAACCCACCAGGAGTGAGTCCTGATTGCGATGCCAGGAGTAATCCCTAAGCATTGCTGGGTATGGCCCAAAAGTGAAACAAACAAAAAAGAATAGACATTGGTGGGCTGGAGCGATAGCACAGCAGGTAGGACGTTTGCCTTGCACGCGGCCGACCCAGGTTCGATTCCCAGCATCCCATGTGGTCCCCTGAGCACCGCCAGGGGTGATTCCTGAGCACAGAGCCAGGAGTGACCCCTGTGCATTTCTGGGTGTGACCCAAAAAGCAAAAAAAAAAAGAGTAGACATTGGTTAAAAAAAAATCATGAAATAGGTATCATCTGTGGGATGTTATATTATACAGCTATTTATGTAAAAATCATGTTTAAGAGGAATTCATGGAAAACTATTTTTTTAATAAGTGGTCAAGAGAAAATGATATATGAAGAAAGGAAAATGATAGCAAGTAAAATGTTAGCAAGAGTTGTTTGTGGGTGAGAGAACCGGGATAATTTTTTTCTCTATTTCGTCTTTTGTTTGTGGGTCATACACGGTGATGCTCGGGGTTTACTCCTGCCTCTGTGCTCTGGGATCACTCCTGGCAGGGCTCTGGGGAACATATAGGATGCTGGGGATCAAATCTTGATCAGTTGCGTGCAAGGCAAGAACCCTACCTGCTGTGCATCTCTTCAGCCCCTATTTATTCTTTTCACTTTTCTTCATTTTTAAGGGGTATGTTTTTAACTTTGGTCACTCAAAAATGCCTTTGATAACTAAAAATAGGCACTTATGTGGGGAGGCTATGCCCAGGGGGGACAAGGATGTGGGAGATTTCTCTGCTGTTCAGTTTCCTTGTGAAGCTAAAACTGCTCTAAAAGGTGAAGCCTCTTAAAAACCAGTAAGTAAAGTTTAAGTTCTCTCAGGTTGATACATACCCTCAGGCTTCAGAAATCAGAAGCTTCACCAAGAAAGCTAACAGTTCAAAGATGAGGACGAGGCTACAACTGTGCATGCAGGAGACCTGGATTCAATCCCCAGCACCATACAATCTGTCAGCACCACCAAGAGTGACCCCCAAGCACAGAGCTGGGAGAAGCTCCTAAGCAGTGCTGGGTGTGGCCCCAAAACAAAGGAATAAACACAGAAAACAGGGCTTCTGAGATTAGTTCAGTTAGGTAGGATTTCATGGCTACAAAGTATCTAATGAGATAGCCCTTGAATTTCCAGTGAAAGCTAGATACAATTCTTTCATTGCTCTTTGCAACCAAAGTGGTCCAAGTCACAAGCATGAGCTGGAAAGTTGTGTCTCATCAGCAACTTCGAAGATCACCCCAACATGGGAGCCCTTCTCCCCGATTTGCCAGGATCTATCTGAGGCTCTCCCTATCCCAGGAGACAAAGGCCCTCAGGGTCAGTAGAGGTGAGACCAGCAGCGCCCAAGTGGTGATATGACCACTTTCCAGGGGACAGCAGAGACAGAAGTTCTTCTGCCACTGACCAGTCAGACACTGATGCTCAGTCAACAAAGCAAGGTGAGTTACGGGGAGAACATGGAGAAAATGCACCACGCTTTCTCCCCCAAGCTCCACCAGGAACAACTTCCAAGCACAGAGCAGAGTAGCCCCTGCGCATCGCCAAGTATTCTAAAAAAAAAAAAAAAAAAAAAAACAGGGTGCTGGTGTGACAGGACAGCAGGGAGGATGCTTGCCTTGCACAAGGTTGACCCAGGTTCAATCCCTGACATCCTATAGGGTCCCTGAGCACCACCAGGAATGATCCCTGAGTGGAGAACTAGGAGTAAGCCCAGAACACCAATGAGTGAGTGTCTAGGACCCAAAGACAAAGAAAACCCACAACCAAACAAAAAAAAATTTTTTTTCAAGAAATAGGTCAGTAAAAATTTATTTAAATGCCCCAGGCAAAGCCCAAGAGACCATATTCACCAGTTACACAGTAACAACAAGTCTCACAATGGAAACTTACTGGGCCCGCTCAAGCAAATCGATGAGTAATGGGATGGGAGGACAGTGCTACAGTGTAGTGCTTTGTCCCCAGAT